AAAAAAAAAAAAAAATTCATTTCATTTGTTCATTTTACTTGAAAAATATAGATGCTAGAATATTTTAAATTACATATATGACTTGCATTATGTATCTGTTGGACAATATTTGTCCAGAACACAGATCACAAAAAGTATTATAATTACTTTTATGTAATTATCATTATTTCCCCTGCTAGAAAATGTAAGCATCATAGAAGGCAAATATTAAGAGTGGTTTTTGTCAACATTTTATTCCCAAGGCTTAATGGCAGGCACTCAATATGTATCTGCCAAATAAATAAATAAACATTCCAGGGCCAAGTTTAGGGCCCTTCCCCCTATACACATTACTCTATTCAGGCCAAAGGGCTTTCCACTCAAGATTTCACGTAAGAATAAAGCCAGGTGCAGTAGCACACACCTACAGTCCTAGCTACTCAGAAGGCTGAGGCAGGAGGATCGCTTGAGCCTAGGAGTTCAAATCCAACCTGGGCAACATGGTCAGACCCCCATCTCTAAAAAAATAATAATAATAAAATGAATAAAGACTATACAAATTATATTGTATGAATTAATAAATATATTAAATTATGTATAAGAATAGGAGCAAGGTTACCAACTTTTCAAACTAATCTCATTAGTTCCTACTCTCATTCTTATAACCACATTTATTCCTATTATCTCTCATTAATTAAACAGTTATTAAGCAACTACAATAGGAGTATTCACCTAAAAGACAATTCCTGGTATATTACAGAATATTAGATGTAAACTGGCAATTCTATCTCCTAGCAATAGCATGGTACAGCAAAATGACTACAGCCTGACCTGCCTTAACATCTCTATTAGTGACTTAGAGAAAAGAAAGCGTTAACTTACTAAATTTGCAGATGATAGGAAGCTGAGCAGAACAAATATGCTGGATGACCCAACCATAAACCAAAAACACTTCAAAAAGCTTTTTCAATAGGTTGATTCTAACAGGATGAATCTGAACAGGGATAAGCTTAAGGTCCTGCACTTGGGTCTGAAAGAACAACAGTTTAGGTACAAGATAGATGAGATGAGTCATGCCTATCTATGTGTGGAAAAGTCTTACAGGTTTAAGCTGACACAGGTTTTGCCTGTGTCTGAGAGGTGAATAAATGCTTGGTGGGAACTCAGCTATCTGACAGCGACAAGATCTCCAGTGAGATCTAATGATGTTGTGATTCTAAATCTGAACCCAGTTAGTGCCTAAGAAATAACACTTTGTGAAAATAATGAAATGGCTCCCAGAAAAAGATTTGGCTACTTTCTGTGATACAGGGCATATTCCAAGGTGGAAACAAATTGGGAAAGTTTCAACAGTCCTTTTTCATAAGACTTTTCTAAAAGTCAATCAAATCACTCAAGTCAGCCATCTCACCTGAAAAGACACTGTAGTGTTTTGATGCTTAAGTGTCGTCAGAGGCTAATTCATCACCAGCAATAATGAGGTAATGGAATTCATTTATTTGAAAATTCTGTAGTTTATTAATACACCTGCCCTCTAAGGTTTAAAAGGTACAGATTTTCTCAGACCATAAACTTTCTAACTATATCAACATGGGGTGAGGTGTTTTTTGTTTTACAGCACAGCTCATTCTATAACCCTTACAGATAACAGTCAGTTCAAATGGTTATCTAACCGAAAAGATAAAGCAAAATGAAGACATTTTCAAGATGGTGACTAACAATTCACTCAATGAACATAAACTGAGCTCCTTATGGTGGGATGCTGGGAGGATTAGAGTGATGGCTAAAACAAGAACCCAGCTTTCAAGGACCAGTTAAATCCCTAGGGGAGATAAAATACAGCACACACAAACAGCCCTAAAAGAGAATGCCGGTCTCCCAAGAGAAAAAAGTGCAATGGAGTTTGAGAAGATTACTTTCAGCTGAATAGAATAGAGAAAGCTTCATGGAAAACAAAACATTATACCTGGGGCTTAGAAAGATGAGCTTGAAGTTGGACAAGCAGAGGCAAAAGACAAAGGGAATTTCCAGCAGATAGAACATTATAAACAAAGACAGGACCAAGGAAGATTTCAGCACGTTAAGGTAACAATGAACATCCAAATTTGGGGGAGGGCAGAGTTTAGGAAGTAGAAAAATGAAGCCAGAAAAATTATGAAAGGCTCTGAAATGATATGCTAAGAAAAAGTCTGGACTTTACTCAGTAGTCCTATAAAATTATAATGGAGCTGAAAAATTCCTATCACTTACAGACCTTT